GTGTGTGTGTGTGTGTGTGTGTGTGTGTGTGTGTGTGTGTGTCCATACATCGTATGGTGCTTGTTGGTCCTCGGATGAGACAGATGCGCTGTGTTTCTGCACTATGCTCATTGTGCTCCTCTGTTGGTTAAATTATGAAAAGTTTGACATTCGTCGACAAACATTTCAAAGATTTAAATGTTTAGTAGCTGCAACATGATCATTTATTACAAGTGCATTGATTAAAATGAACAAAAACAGCTGGTATGTGATTGTTTATTATGTTTTTTCATTATTACATTATCATTTCTAAAAAAGAGCATTTTGTAATAATTGCCACAAAATATAATAATATTATTACAAAATGCCGCTTGCTAGTATTACAAAATGCGTTGAAGACTTTTAGTACATTCTGCGTCAATAATTACATAATGCGGTTTTAGTGCGGGTTTATTACATTTTGGGGTAAATTTTATTACATTATTACATAATGCGGTGTTTTTACAAAATGCATTGTTACAAGATGCACAGCTCATCAGAAATACTAACATGCTTAAGGCCTTTCCCTTGATCAAATCTCTCAAGTCATACAAACCGACTTTGTCTGTTTTCTCTCCTTTCACTCCAAAGGATCAGGATTTGTATTGTTCAAAGTCCTCTTAATCAATCATTTGTACTGCATTTTTGATTAAATGAGTTTGTTTAAAAAATGCATTATTTGTTCAAACTGGCAAAACATTTAAAACCTTCTCTTTCAAATGAACAATTCCACTAAGCATGAAACTTCTTACATACATAGCCCCTAGAGTAGTGGCTCTACAAAATATGTGAAGGAAAAGTTGTTTGGTTTTTCTTTGACCAAATAATGTTTATTCATTTGAAAAAGAAAGCTTGTTAGAATTAACAAAAAATACAGTCTTTCATGTATTTTAACACATATTCACATCAATCTCATATCATACATCTAATGAATCGTATATGTGCGTGTGTTAAAATTTCATGTCAACCAAACTGTAAGGGGTGCTAGAAATGCACCTTGTTAATATCTCATAAATCCTAATGCTGATTGATACCACATTTGTTACACTTAAAGAGCACAAGGCCCTTGACGTGTCCACCAAAGGCTTGGCATGTAAATCTGATGCCCTGATGCTCAAAATGTGTTTGGTGTGAACACAGCATCACAGCTCTTTTCTGTAAAACAAAAATAATATTTGAAATAGTTTTGCATGCATTTCCCCAAACCTCCAGACAATATAATAAATGTGGTACAATCATTAAATTATATCATGTATACAATGCTTTATAATTTGTATTTTCTCTTTAAACTATGTTTTCTTCTTTTTCTTCTTTCCACATGTAGGATGGAACCAAAAGTCTTCTGTCTTATATTGTAGCCTACTATCTCAAAAACTTTGATGAGGTAAACTTCATTTCTGTAGCTGAATATTTAAGACTTATCTTCTTTTCTTATGGCGTCAGCCCAGTTCAGGACAGAAAACCATAAAAAAAACTATTTCAAAACACAAAAAGGTCTCTAATTAAGTCAATTTTATAGAAATTTGATGTAGTTGTAACTGAAAGTCATATAGAACACATTAAAAATGTTAGTCATTTTGGGAGATCTATGCCAAAAACTTTAGCATTAACTATTGGTGTCAAGTCGATCTATTATCAAACTTTTTTATGAAACATTCTCACACTCATTCATACTGAAACATTCAAAAATATTTATTGAATATGTACAGCTACAACTGTTTAACTTTTGGAGTCAATTTATTTAAAAAATGTCAGAAAAATGGTTCCAACTCAATCAATTCTACTAATTTATGTAATAGAATTGGATGTGATAGAGTCTTCAGCAACACATGATCTCTGCATAGCATTTTGCTGCATCTTCAAGGTTATACCAAAACATTTACACTTCACAGCACAAGATGATGTTAGTTTAAAATTGTTGCAATAAAGACAGGAGGTGATATTCATTCATGTTATTTAACGTATGTGTGTGCCTGTCTACTCACAGGATGCTGGCAGAGAGACGTGTGTGTTTCCGCTTCCTGAACCTCATGACCTGTTCCAAGCTTCACAGCTCAAGTTTGACGATTTTCAGAAAGACCTGGCTCATCTCAAAAAAGACTTGAGAGGTTACACTTTTTTTTCCATACAGTATACTCATGAGCACTAAACAAAGCACAAACACTGGCTTATGGTTTTCTTCAATTATTTCATCAGCATGTACATCAGAAGTGGAAAAGGTATGCAAAGTGTCAGATGAGGATAACTTGCAACCTTTTAAAGAAAATATGGAAGACTTCCTTGTACAAGGTAACTGACAAAATCTTTAAAAATTTCTATCAGAGCAAGGCATGTGTAAACTAGGGTTGAGCTGTTGAGCTGGATACTCATTTCAGAAGAGTATTCATTACAGATAATGCATTTTTGACGAATACGAGCATGAAACGAATATCCGTGCTTGTGTTGACGGAAAATCCTCATTGGGTAACAGACTGTCTTCACAATCTGTGATTGGCCAGTCACAGAGCGCCTGCCCCTCCCTTCACAGACACGTCTCTGCAGCCTCACTCCCGACTGCCGCACACACACACACAGCTGATCTGTCTGTGCTCACCTTGCTGTCCAGCTCACCTTTGTTTTGGTTTCTATGATATTTAAAGTTACTTGCTGAACTTGTTTTGTGACAAACGTGGTGCATTTGACAAGACAGAGCTGGAAACGGCTCGTGTTGCGTCAGTCACTTCCTCAACTAATGCCTCTGATGTGTGTCCCATTAGTGTATGAATGTGATTGGCACTGATTAGTCTCCAAAGTGACTGTACATGTTAGTTTTGAGGAGATCTAGTAGAGTGCTGTGTGAATGGGTAAATGAAGGCACAGATTTTAGTGTGAAGAGCTTTGAGTGTCCTGGATGGGTAGAAAGGCGCTATACAAGTACAGTCCATTTACCATTCTCATCAATTCAGGGTCGCCCAAATGTGTCTTTAATTTTAGTTCCAACCACGCATTTGGATCTACCACAGCGATGGTTCCAGACAGGTCAAGATGAGTAGTGAGTTATTATTTTAGTGCTGGGCACATTAACACGTTATTATTGTATAAATGCAGTCGACCCTTAACGGCGACAATTTTATAATGCGCGTTAATGCAGCATCTTTGTATTTCTCCGTCTGATCTCTGTTCTCTGGGCTGCCTATGAAGATGCACCCACACAGCATCACACAAACCCAGTGATCACCGTGGGGAGGTGGGATCATGATCACTTTTGGCTTTAGATAGCGTTCATCGCACATCTCATCCAATGAGAGCCTTTGTTGTTGAGTGTGGCAGCCGTTCATATGAACCTTAGCTGCAGGCAGCCAGGGAGGAAATATGCCTGATGCCACCAGATGTGTGTCACACATGTATTACAACATACAAATGTACACATTCATCCATTGTAGAGTGATTGTTTCTTTTGTTTTACATCCTTTATTTAACCAGGAAAATCCCATTCAGAAAACTTCTTTTTCGAGGGAGTCCTGGCCAAGAAGCAGCAAAAATTATACATTTACATAGAGTTACACAATTAAAAGACAATACAAACAATCACTATTATAAACATTAACAATTCAAGGAAGTCATTGCTAATGTCCTCAATCTGGACTTAAAGGCGCTTAATGGAATCAGTTCAGTTAACTTCTAGTCATTTAAAAACCTGAGGACATTGTATTGACTTCCATTCATTTTTGTAGCTACATTTATGCCTGACCTGTAATGAGTGGGAAAACGAACAGAGTTGCCAGACACCTGAATAGTTTTAAAAGTTTTATTAACAAACGGGAAGCTGGATCTGGACCCACATGTCAAGGGAATCAGAGCTCTAAACAGGAGAGGATTAGTTTAGTGGCTGGATTGAACTGAGGAGCAGAATTAAGATTGAATGAAGCCACTAACCTTTTCAGTGAGCGTTTGGTCCTGAACGACCTCCTGAATGACATGGACAGTCTCGGGTGAAGTCCGACGTTACTTCCCTGTTTATGAAATTTACTCCGGGTGGAGGGACTTGGAGGTTCGGGGATAATTGGTGGCATAGGCGGGGGTCATACACATATGATCAGCGAGCAGAACCAGGTTTGGAGGGGCAGACTTATCTCATGGTCGGGGAGAGCAGGGGAGGGTCGAAATCCAGGACTCAGATGACTGAACAAATCCGAGGAAGGCAAGAGCAGGATACGTGAATCCAACATTCAAAACCAGGGTCATAATCTGTGAGGCAGATGACAGAACAAATCTGACAAGGGCTGAGGCAGGAGACATGAGACCAAAAAACAGAAGCAGGATCACAATGAGGCAGGCAAGACGAGACATAGACGCTAGATAACTACTTGGCAAAAACTGTTCATAAATCTGGCACTGGTACTGTGGGGAATTGGAGCTTAAATACTAATGATGACAGGTGAGTGGCATGAAGCTGATTATGTTTTCTGTGATAGGTGGGGAGAAACCAATGACGAGATAATTGGCAGGTGAATACTGTGGCATGACTTGACATGAGTTTAAAGGCAGGGATCAGGTGTGATTCATGACAGTACCCACCTCTTATGATCCGGCTCCAGACAGACCTGGAGGTTGAGTGGGGTGATCCTAATGGAAGCTGGTGATAAGAGGTTTATCCAAAACATGACATGCAGGAACCCAGGAGAATTCTTCATACCCATATCCTTCCCAGTCGACGAGATACTGGATACCTCTACCGTAGTGGAATGTAGGGTAGATCTACATGAGTTGGGGGGTCTTAACTTGACAGCCACCGAGTTTACCACGTTGGAGATGGGAAAGGGGCCGATGAACCGAGGTCCCGGCTTTCTGCACTCTACATGCAGAGAAAGGTCCTTGGTGGACAGCCAAACCTTTTGACCTTCCTGGTAGTTAGGTGCAGGGATCCTGTGACAGTTGGCTGCCCATGTGTAGACTGCCGAGGACTTAAGGAGTTGGGCACGGGCCTTGGTCCAGGCTCTACGGCACCTCTGGGCGGCTTGGTATGCTGATGGGACTATGGCAGCCTGGTCTTGGGTGGCAAACACTGGTGGCTGGAATCCATACAGAACATAGAAGGGGGACAGACCAGTGGCACTGGAGGTGATGGAGTTCATAGCGTGTTCAACTATGGGGAGGTGTTCTGCCCATTTGGTGCCATCATCTCCACACAGGATACGCAGACGGGTATCCATCTCCTGGTTGGCACGCTCCATCTGGCCATAAGTCTGGGGGTGGAAACCTGAAGACAGACTTGGTTCAATTCCCATGGTTTTACAAAATAGCCGTTGAGCGTAACCTCTAAGAAACAAAAAACCCCTCTCATAGACTTTCCCTAGCTTGGGCAGTCTAAAACTACCCTCCCTTCAGGCTCTCCTATTAGCCTGAAAACCAATACGCCAGGACCAGAGGGTGTGGAAATTAAAAATTGTAATTTTTTACTCAGTGTGCTGAATAAAATATAATTTTGGTATTAATTCAATAAAGGACATTTCCGATACCCATCCAATACCAATCCGAGAGCTTTATTTCTTTCAAGGTGACAAGGTTGGTAGTATTAAAGCAAGCCCTGCTGTTCCCACCATGAGAAACATCCAGTTTGCAGATTTTGKAAYATGCAGTTTCAGCATCATTGTTTTCCATTGAAAACTGTTCCCACACTGTGGACAAGGTTGCATACTTGTGTACGTCTTGACTTCTTAATGGCAGTTGTAAAGCATGATACTGCTGAAAACTGTTGCAAAAACTGGATCGGCCCGATCACATGACTAAATCTGATTCTACCTGATTTTCAAAAAATGGCCATATCTGCCACCGATACCGATACTGAGTAGCTGATCGGGACATCCCTAGAAGACATGCCTAACAGATGTTGTTGCTATCTTAGCTCCAGAAAATGAGAATTTAAAGGTTTCTCTTTCAGGCCTGCAGCTTTCAAGTGTAAAGGGTTATCATCCTGACACTCTCAGAACTTAAAGTTATGAGGAAATTATCATGGGTTATTCTATTTAAGGAAACAAACAAGCCTTCTGTGTAACAATGAGACCACACAATAAGATGAACCTGACAGTGATTTTGGTTTGATCTAATAATAAACGAGATCCTGTATTTACAGAATCAAATTAAATCACTAATATACAGCTTATTGTGGACAATCAAAAAATTTTATAAAAATTTTACATCAACAACAATCAGTACGCGTCCGCTCTAATTAATTGTCAGACTTTACATATTGCTCATTCAAATTCAAATTCAATTCAAAAATACTTTATTGATCCCAGAGGGAAATGAGGTGTTGTTGTAACTCATTGAACTAAAAACTTATTGTAGATGCTGATGGCTGTGGGCAGGAAAGATCTTCTGTAGCGGTCTGTATTACAGCGAAGCTGAAGAAGCCTCCGACTGAAGACACTTTGTCTTTCTATGACAGTCTGATGAAGAGGATTCTTCATATGATAAAGCTTTAACCAGCATTTCTTGATGCCCAAGCAGTTTTGTCCTTAACAGAATCATACCTGGTTGTAATACATTTCTGTTTGAAGCCCCGAAAATCTTGGGCATTCAATATAGATTTTAGGTCTTGACACATTATTTATTTATTTATTTATTTATTTGTTTGTTTGTTTGTTTGTTTGTTTGTTTGTTTGTTTGTTTGTTTGTTTATTTATTTATTTATTTATTTATGCTCTCGGAGGAATAAGATGTTTTTTCCCTCTCTCCTGCCTTCCCTTATTTTCCCTGCTTTGCTACTCGGAGCCTCCTCTACGTTTTCATGTGAAACCAAAAAATGATGGATTTATTTTTATGGATTTGGTTAGCTGGTCTCTTAATAAATTTTTGGAACAAAACTTTCAATATGGGAGGACATGTCAAAGGTGGGACCTCTGTTCTGCTCTGTTCAGCTAGCATATACTGGATTCTGATCACTGGATTTCTACAGATTGGTTTGGTGGTCCCCTGGTGTTCTGCAAAACAGCATCGATAGCTATTCAGGACATTTCCTGGCTGCCTGACCAATATGAAGGATTGTCATGCTATTAGCACTCAGAATCACGCTGTGTGTGAGCTGGGACTCGGTCTGCAAGCGGTTCTGCTGAGGGTCGCGGGCCGACTGCGGTCCCTGGACTTTGATGGTGAGATGGAATTGATCTTGGAGAAGCTGATAGCTTGACTTGGTGGGATTGTCCACACTATTTGTCTGATTGGAGTCGCCATGTTGGATGTACCAGTGGAGAATCAGGCAGATGGAAAATTATTATTGTCTGCCTGATCAAAAACATTTTCTTCTGTTCCCAAACAACTAATTACAGATTTGGCTCTCACCTCCTACGTGGCCTTGAAGGGCTGTGGATCTAAATTCTCCTGGGGCCACATGTATAAACGGTGCATACGCATAAAAAAGTTACATGCTCCAGGTTCTACGCCCACGTTGGGATGTATAAAAACCAACGTTGCTTGAAAGTGTGTGTATATTTACGCACACTTTTCACCTGCCGTGAGAATGTGCAGCAGCCACGCAAAGTTTTTCAGTCAACAGTTTTAACTCACAAAGTCACGAATCTGACCTGAATCCACAGAAATATGACTCTGTTGCGATTTCTGGATGTAAGGAGCATCTAAACACAGTGTTAGATTTTTTTTAGTTTGAGTTTTTATTGTTTAAACTCGAACGATCATGAAACTGAACCCCGGGACTGAAAATCATTTAACCTCAGGCAAGAAAATAGATCAGCCTAAAAATGATCAAAAGAACCTCAATCCAGTCGTAAACTGTTTTTATATTTTTGTCACATAGTTGAAAACCTTTTGGGTCCCGGGCCGGCAAAACTCGACACATCACGTGTGACATAAAATAAATAAAATAAAATAAAGGCTGAAGACAGGGAGCAAAATCGGATGCAAATTGTGGCTCACTGTACGGTAAGAATAATTATTTTTTCTGTGTGCAGACTTCTGAATGATGCTGAGCTGAGTTGTGGCCGGGGCGCAGCTGCTGCGCTTTGGGTAGATTCTCTTGCCACGCGCACCCTCGCCAGCTGGGATGGTGTTCATATGTGTCAACCCCTTTGGACATTTACCTGTCTAATGAGCCTCAAAAATCTATATTTTTTGCTAAAAATCCGTAGGCTACCACTCGTACTCGCGCGTGGCGGTGGGGTGGGAGTCCATGGAGTTGACAGCGCTGCTGTAACACAGGGGGAAAGTAGAGAGGAAAAAGTGGATTTTTTTTGTTTGTTTTTTTGTTGTTTTGTTTTTTAACATCCGTTCAACACCGTGTTCAACTAAATGGACAACAACTAACCAGGCTTTAATATCACATTTGGGAGATGTCTGTAAATTTAAGGAAAATCTCAGGCTTTGGTTATCCCGCGCGAATGCGCCACATAAAACAATGACACCCCACTACTTATTTAAACAGTTTTCTCATTCATTCTCCATTTAATTTACATTTTTCCTGCATCTAAAAATCCTTTCTGATCTCACAGAGAGGACAGTCGGAGGAGAATCTCACACGCTGGACACATTTACATCTATTTTACAGATTTAAATGGAGGCGTGTCAGGGGAGGTGTCTCAGTTCCACGTTCAGTTGAGTTTTGATACATCCTGAGTTTTCCATGGAAAATGGCGTACGCAAGGTTTTTGTGTGTACGCACCGTTGATACATGAGGCCCCAGGTCCCTGAAGGACAATCAGGAGCTGCACAGAATGAACATCATTATTCTGAACTATGTTTTTATTTTTTGGGGACTAGATTCTTCGGACTCATTCTTCAGAAATTCACACAAGTGCAAACAACATTCATGGCTTCAGATTCACACCTCTAAACTCACTACTCTTCTGGCTAATCAATGTGCTCTTGCCATGCAAAGATTTTCTTCTATATAAACACCATAATGTGTCACATTTTGTTGATATAATGTTTTTTTTCCCTCATCTATCCTTGTGTGATATTTTGTTTTTCTTTTTAAAGGTAGCGCAACCCCTGCTGGTTGCCGCATGACCTGTTCACCTGTTCCCTCATGCTTTTTTCATGTAATTTCATTGAGCTCTGTTCAATGACAATAAAGGCATCATCAATCATTCAATCAATCAATTTACTGACCTGTTGCCAATTAACTTATTTAGTTACAAAGTGCCCCTCTATGTTTTCTTTTTATTCTTACCACTTGTGTATTTTCAAAAAGATTTAAACTATTTAATATGTTCCACTGTGAATAAAATATGGGTTTATGAGATTTGCACATCATTGTATTCTGTTTTACATTTTAGACAATGTCTCAGCTTTTTTGCTAAAGTGGTGTTGAAGTTAACATGAGACAGAAAATTGTGAAAGAAGACATTTTGATATACTGTGTGTATATATATATATA